GTCGCCAATAAAAAGACGACATCTATTAGGCGTTTTTTTAATTTAATATCTTTGCTTTATGTCTTGTCAGAGTGAGCGACCCGACCCGATAACTCTGTTTATTTGAATTCCGGAAAATAAAGAATGGAAACGCTGCGTATTTTATTTTCAAACGACATTTTCACTGCTACTCCAGCTCTGGTAAGCGCTCTCGGATTCCTCCAATACCTTCGGTTATGCAATAGCTTCTTCACGTCGGAGGTAGACGACGAGATTGTAGAAGATCATCATTCAGGAAGAGGTATGGTTGCGCCTAACTTGCGCTTTACTTGCGCTTTTGTTGTGTTTAAGTTATATGTTAAATTTTTTGGTTTAGTTATAATTTTACCATTGTTTGTTTAATCTAATGTTCAAATGTTTATTTTCTGAATTTCAAGCTTCTCTTCGTAAATGGATGAAACAAATGATACGAAAGGTTTACGAAAGGTTTACGCTTTTTGTTATCTAACCTTTTCTTTCCACTAAACAACCATAAAACCCCTAGAAGGCTCACATCTGTTGCAAATAATTTAAGTGAGTTCACTTCCATTAATTGGACTTCATGCATAAGGAACTTCATGGTCGGGGAATTCAACACAATTTTTGATAAGTTTCAAATGCAAAGACCATTGGGTTACATCAATGATTTTTTTCCTCTTCTACTGATAAGTTTTCACTCCTACTGGTTATTCTCCATCCATAATGCTTTTTAATGTTAACTTTTAATTTTTTATGTTTGGCATTATACAGATTTGGTTTTTGGAACACTTTTCTTTGAATAAACCATCCAATCCAGAACTAAAATCGCATTTTCTGAGATGGGAGGGGTATACTAAATTATACTATACTCAAGAGAATGCTGCAAAATTATTTAAATTTTTAAAGAAAAATGAGATAATTTTTACTTATAAATGATGCAAATTGCGCTATGGTTGCGCTATTATTGCGCTATGGTTGCGCTTTATGAAAATAATACTTTTTTTTTTTGCAGATTTATTTTTGTCTTAAGAATGTTAGTAATGAAGAAGCCGAAAAATACGGGGCTGACATTAGTGCTATACAAAACCTGGAAACCCGGCCAGGGCATGAACCCCAAAAAATTCAATCACCCCAGCAAATTAAGTCATCCTCAAGGAATAAAATTCACACCACCCCACCTCCCTCTCCCCCTCTCTCTCCCCCTGATTCTCCTCATAAAGAACCACCAGAAAGTTCACCTCCGCCGCCAACTCAACCTTCTACGCGTCCACCTACTGAAAAAATTTACACAACTCAACCTTCTGCTGAACAACCACCCATTGAAAAAAGTGTAGATTTAGAGGCTGTTCAGAAAAAATATTTTGAAATATTTCAAAAGATGTTGAATAAAATTGAAGAGAATTTGGGAGCTAGATTGGATCGTCTTGAAGATATTGTGGAGAAACTTCAAGCAGATTAAGACTCTCTAAAGTACAAATTTATTAAATTTCAAATGAATTGTGATCACAATCCAGAAAAGCCGCCTATATCTAATTCTTTCTCCTGCCTCCAATCAGTGAAAACTACAGCTATTCATCCTTCAGAACAACCTAAAGAAGATCTTCTTCCAGCTATTCCATAACATCTCAAACATGTTCTTCCACAACCACAATAGAAGATGTTCTTCCACTACATCCCAAAGAAGATCTTCTTCCACAACCATCCATACAAGATGTTCCTCCACCTCCACCATCGGCCAAAGAAGATCTTCTTCCACAACCACCCATACAAGATGTTCCTCCACCTCCACCATTGGCTAAAGAAGATGTGCAACCACCAACAGAGAGTTCATCAAAGCACATCATTCAAAAAAGAAAAAGAGAAGATGATGAAAAAACAGAGAGTTCATCAAAGCATATCATACCATATGTAAAAAAGAAGAACAAAGATGTTATCTTTGTTGATAATATAAAAATTGAGTCACGACCTGCATTGCAAATTATGGATTATCCAGGAAAGCCTTTTCTAACAGAGCAGCAGCAACATTTTATGAATGAATGTTTCAGAAAATTTGATAAAAAGTAAGTTAACTTGCGCTTTACTTGCGCAATTATTGCGCTTTACTTGCGCTATAGTTGCGCTTTACTTGCACTTTTGTTGCGCTTTAACTTTTTTTTTTGTAGGGACGGTGTAATATTTACAGCTGGAAACATAGAAATAAAAAGAGAAGATATTGACATTCTGCTCACAAATGATTGGTTAGCAGATAATCATGTTGATGCTTTTGGTTTTTTTTATTAGAGCAGAGTAGGATGATGTCAGACAAATTTCAACGTTACTTGTATATTTCTCCATTGTACAGGGTAAGTATAAATAATATTTTAATCCTTTTTTCACATTTTTTTTCTTATATATCTGAATTATTGCAGGTATACAAGTCATACAAACAGGAATATCAAATTTTTATCCAACACGTTAATCCTGTTTCTGTTAAAGAAAGTAAACTTATTGTTCAACCCATAATTTTTGAAAAGCATTGGGTTCTTCTTATAGGAAAATTGAGGGAGAAAGTCTGGAAAATGTATGATTCCTTACCAAATCCTGAACACAAGAATATTTGTTATATAGTTATAAGTGAAATCCTTATTTTAAGTTAAATCCAGATAACTATGTTTTCATACCTAATATACTTATAAAATATTTTATTTGTACAGATAAAGTATTTGCATGAGGACACTGTAGGATGCTTTTCAAGCGATATAACGAAATAAAACTTACAGGTGGTTCGTGGACTTCCAACACAATCAAAAGATTACGATTGTGGAATGTTCGTTTGTAAATATATGGAGAAAGTCGTGCAACGAAAGAAAATAGACTGGAATTCCTTTAAAGATTGGCAAACACATATGCCAAAATTTAGGACAGAGTTAGCATATTTTCTTTTTCTTACAATAAAGAAGTAAATATTCTGTAACTTATTATAAATATTGTCCATGAATTCTAAATGTACATTTTATTATGTTATTATATAGTTTTTGATTGTTGTGTAACACGTGCATATTCTGTAACTTCTAACAAAGCTAAACAATAGCGAAACCATAGCGCAAGTAAAGCGCAACCATAGCACAACCATAGAGCAAGTAAAGCACAACCATTGCACAACTATAGAGGCAAGTAAAGCACAACAGTAGCGCAACATTAGCGCAACCATAGCGTAAGTAAAGTGCAACCATAGCGCAAACATAGCGCAACCATAGCGCAAGTAAAGCGCAACCATAGCGTAAGTAAAACACAAGTTAAGCATGTTTTTAATATTAGAAGTAATGAAAGCATGATTCATATAAAAAATTTTATTACAACCAATAAATGAAATCATCAACTCCAAATAAGTATTATTACATTGCAAATTCATTAAATTCCAACTCCGAAGAAATAAAATACATCATCAATTTGGTGTATTCAGCTCCAGGTTGGCATGATGGTATGCCGGTTATAAATTCCTCACTGAAATATTCAGGCATGCTTGAAAAGTTCATCTGTGTTGAAGAAGGTTCATTCATTGGGTTATCCCCTACCAAAGGTTTCTTACCTGTTAGAAACTAGAGTTTTAGTCTTAGGATTGGAAATTAAATAATTAAAAAGTTATTAAAAACTTACTCTTAGACTGTTTCTTCTTCTCCCAATGACTTTTCAGTCTTGCATTTGATATGTCTTTAGGTCTACGCTTTAGAGGATCTTTCAAATTAACAGTTCCACCTTGGGAACTAGTAACATCCTTCTGATTTCTTTTCTTGCCACCAAGAATTAAGTATAATTTTCAATACATGTCTTGCAATGAGGAAAGATGAACTCCTCTGCCTCCTCATTCCCTTGAGTTTCTATGCTTATTTGATATGCAAACTTGCTCACTTGATTTCTGAATATGAATCCCCTACCACTTTGAAAATTATTACTTCTTTGAGAATTAAGCAAGTAACATGAATAAAAAACTTGTCGAGCCCTTGTTGACTAACGAAGTAATAAGTACTTCTCAGGGAATTTAGCCATATCCAACTGTTTAAAACCCCTCAAACAATGAGAACACAGTAATCTCATGGTTTCATACTTCTTACAGCTGCATTGAATGTTACCTTCTGTTGCATCATAGTGAACAACCCAAGGATGGTTTTCATTCTTTTTCTCTATGTAGTTGACTAGAAACTTTGAAGAATCAGTCGAGACAAAATCTATACTCATTTCTCCCACAGCCTTTATAAATTCTTCCTCAAAAATTGAATATATTTTTCTTGAGTAAAATCTAACAGCTTGTTTTAATATTGAGATGCTCTTTATCACAGGAACAGTTTCAGATTGACTGCATTTGTAATCCTCATCCTGCTCATTTCACCGCCAATTCATCAGTACCTTTTCCAACCCAAGAAAACAATCAGTTAATGAACTTGTTGGCTTAGAAATGCCATGACACACATTATTAATACACTCACTACGCTGAGTTGATAAAATGTTCATGCAAAAACAATCCTTGTTGAAAGCAGTTAACCATTTTCTCCTTATCTTATAAAGATCCTGCAACCATTTATGATTATGAAGATTCCCTTCCTTGATCATTTCATCTCATGCTTCCTCAAACACTTCCTCAGAATCACACCATCTCATATACTTATAGAAGAGTCCTCTAACTTTATTATTGCTATTGTAGATGGAAACTTTTGATGGAACCTTTTTAAAGATATGTCATTGGCATAATCTATGACGAGTGTGAGGTAATGCAACTTCTATGGCCCTGGCCATAGCTTGGTCCTGATAAGTGAATATTGTTGTTGGATATTTATTACCCATTATTCGTACAAATATTTTAAACAACCATATAAAACTTTCAATTGTTTCTTCTGATAAAAAAGCAACCCCAAACAAAATATTCTACCAATGATTGTTAACACCAACAAATGGCGCACAAACAAAATTATACTTGTTCAGCCTGTAACTAGTATCAAAAATCAACACATCTTCAAAACATTCATAATCTATCCTGCTTCTGCCATCAACCCAGAAAAAATTAACAATCTATCATGATCATCATATTGAGCATCCCATACGAACATGTGGTCCTCAACTTGTCGATCTTTAAATAATTGAATCAAAGAATTAGTGTCACCAATTTCAATCCTTGCCCTTTTCTCCTTCTGAATAAAATTGTAGGCATCCCTCTTAGAGAATTCGACATTCTCACATCCACCAACTTCCTCTACAAGGTAGGCATATGCATCAACGGTTCTAATCCCTGCATCTGTCATCGATTTTAGGACGGAAGCTTTTTCCTCAACAACATTCCTACATGATCTCAAAAGGTGTCGGTCGGCTGGGCTAGCTAATTCATGATTGTGGGATTCAATAAATCTTTTGACATGCCAGTAACCATTTTCATCTATGACAAACCTCACCATGGCTGGACAACCAGTTCTGACATTTGATCTAGTGAATCTCTTTCTTGAATTAAGATCATTACTTTTCTTGAAACCAGCTTTTGAACAAACAAAGTCCTTCGATTTTATCTTTCTAGAATTTGGCCAAAAACTGTGATGATCCTTTCGCTAAAGCCATTATCGTGAGCATCAGTGCAAAAATATTCATATGCTTTTGTCTCATCTTTATAAACAGCCTGAAATGTTAAAGCGCAACTAAAGCACAAGTAAAGCGCAAGTAAAGCGCAAGTAAAAGCGCAAGTAAAGCACAAGTAAAGCGCAAGTAAATATCAAACCAAGTTCAATTTTTTTATTTATCATCTTCATCCTAAAATCAATAATGAAAGCTAAGTAACAACATTAGAGTTTTTTTTACTGTTCCGACAAAAAAAAATTATTCTGCCTAAAAATTGCAAAATCTAAGATCCTAAGACTCTAATGAGCTGAAACCTACGCCTTTTTTCTGTGGCGATGAGATTAAAACTAACTGTTTACAACTTTCTAACTCGTTTTTCCAAGAAACTTACCGATATGCTGAAACCAGAGGAATTTCCGGATAAGTTAGGTTCTGATTCCAATTCATGCACCAGCCCTTCTGATTCATGCATCCTTTCCGATTCATGCACTCCCTCTTCCATGCCCTCTTCCACCTCCCTCTTCACTGAGCAGTCCATTTCTTCTCTGCAATTTTCTGGCTCGTTTTTTCTTCTACAGCAGTAGATATTTACGTCTTTCGCGGGTATCAAATTGCAAAAAAAGGGCGGCAAATGCTTAAAAGTTCAAATAAACTGAGTTATCGGGTCGGGTCGCTCATTCTGACAAGACATAAAGCAAAGATATTAAATTAAAAAAACGCCTAACATATGTCATCTTTCTATTGGCTACCGAATGCAGAGATGGGTTCGGTCACCTGACCCAATAATTTGCCCATACAAGGAGGGCATGAGGCATAATCGACATGACACTCGGAAATTTGATGGCTTACTTCTTAAGATTCGTGATTCTATAACAAATACAATAAAGGGGTTCCTACCAAAATAAGTTGAGACTAATATTGAAGCCAATGCTGACAGTGATAGCCTAACTATCATCCAAACAAAAAGAGAGAAAACAATTTCAACTCCCTTAAAGAAATATGAAACAATCTAGTGGAAATATAAAGTAGGCTTCTCTCCCAAATATAGTGTATGCTTCCTTCTCACTAGAAACTGAGCTGAGGTGGTCTGCCTTGAAGAGTCTCACTTCTTATACCTCTGCTTCACCTAATAGCTATAAACGTGACTACGTGAGAACTTTGCTCATAAATTTATATTAAATAATTTCACTCCCCTCAATTTCGATTCAATCATTGGATGATAGGAAATTAGAAGTAAAATAAGGATCTAGATAAGATAATTTGAGTAGAGATAATGCACAAAAAGTTCTCATAAAATAAAACTGATAGATCATATTATGCTCACAGCATGAATGAATGAAAAAATAGGATACATAAAAATTTGATCCTACGAAAACAGATTAAGACTAATAATGAAGCTAATGATGACAGTTATTGTCTAATTATCATCTAAAAATAAAGAGGATAAATTATTTTAACTACTTCAATGAAAGATGAATCAAACAGGGTAGAAAGGGAAAGAAGGTTTCTCTCTATGAAATGTAATGTAGGTTTTCTTCTCATTTGAAACGATATTGCCATCTAAGTTAGATAAGCTATTTCTAATATACATACAATAAAAACAACAATAAGTCTTTATCGTACTACGTGGAATCGGATATATGAATCTTTTTTCTTCATTGTGACCAACGAAAAGCTAAATTCTCATTTAAATCTAATTTTTTTAGAAAAAAAAATATATATATTTTTTAAATGATTTACAACCAAATTTTTTAGATATACCTCTATCTTTCTTAACAAAAACCTTTATCCTATTTCTAATTTACAAGTAAATACCAAATTTAAAGGGTTAGATGGTTTTGTCACATAAAACATCGGCCTTTTGATGACCCACTTAGGAGAGTAGATATATTACATTTGACCTATGTTAAGAGAGGTATATGTAGACTTAAATAAACTTATTTAGAAAATATTAAAAATGACCTTTTTTATTATATTTAAATGAGAATTTGACTCTTAACATGACATAATAGAAAAAAAGGATTCATGTAGCTGACCCAACAGTGCTATAAAGGCTTTGTTGTTGTAGTAAATACACTAGCTTTCATTGATTTGAAAATTCCTTAGAGCAAGCCGTAATCAGCAGGTTATGACCAAAACAAGTTATAAATGATGAGGAAGAATGGCGGGAATGCCTTACTTCAGAGCATTTCAGAGCGAAGGAAATTATCAAATTAGACAGAGAATGAAGAACTGCCATGGATGACCTGAAAAGAAGATTAGCATAAAAAAGAAAAATAGCAGAACTTGCAGAGTAAAGCTTTGTTCTCATTTTGCAATCGTTATTGTAGCACACTACAGATTGTATATATAGAGCATTGGTTGTACACGTGTATGCTTTGATTTGGTTAGTTATAGATGAACGGCTGGATCACTTCTGGGCCGTTTCTGATAAAGGTAGCTGGGTCGTTTCTGATAAAGTTGCTATGGTAGTGGAAGCTGTCTTTACCCCCTCGCAAATGGACGGTTCTGGCTGAACTGTCAATTTGGCTCGCAGTAGATGAAATCTAGACGTGGATAGAGGTTTTGTAAGCACATCAGCTAGTTGATTTTGCGTAGCAATGGGAGCAACGGTGATGGCCTGATTCTGAATGTGGTCCCGGATAAAATGTTGGTCGATCTCTATGTGTTTCGTGCGAGAGTGAAACACGGGATTGTTGGCAAGGGCAATAGCTGAGGTATTATCGCAGAAGATAGTTGTAGGACCTGGAAGAGTGATACCGAAGTCTTGAAGCAGTCTCCGTAGCCATAGAACATCAGTCGTGGCAGCGGCTAAGGCCCTGTATTCTGCTTCAGTTGAGGACCTAGCAACAGTGTGTTGCTTTTTGACGCACCAGGAGACCATAGTGTGTCCCAAAAATGAACAGTATCCCGTGGTGGACCGGCGAGACAGGGTGTCACTTGCCCAGTCGGCATCGGAGAAGGAGATCAGGTGCAGAGGTCCGGGAATTATGGGAATGTCATGAGTTGAAGTGCCACGAATGTAGCGAAGAGTGCGTTTGAGAAGATGATAGTGGGGAGTTTGAGGATCATGCATATGTTGGCATAGAACATTGACTGGATAAGCAAGATCGGGTTTGGTTATTGTAAGATATTGTAGAGCTCCAGTTAACTGTCGGTAGATGTGTGGATCAAACAGTGTTGAGTCCGTGAACTCAGTGAGAATGGGTTTGGTGGAGAGTGGGTTGGATGGTGGTTTGCAGTGGGAAAGCCCAGCTCTAAGAAGGAGAGAGTTAGCGTAGGAGGATTGATTAAGAAAGAGACCGTGAGGAAGTTTGTGAATTTGAATGCCTAGAAATGTGTGAGCTGAGCCAAGGTGTTTCATGGTGAATTTTTGATCAAGGCTTTGGGTGAGCTGGGAAATGGCGGTGGGGTTGTTGCCGGTGAGCAGAATGTCATTGACATAGATGATGAGAAACATTTGAGTGTCATTTTGAGTGAAGGTGAGAAGAGAGTGGTCTGAGTTACTATGTTTGAAACCGAGAGCTAGAAGGTAGGAGGAGAAAGTGTTGAACCATTGCCTTGGGGCCTGCTTGAGGCCGTAGATGGCTTTATGTAAGAGACAGACATGGTTCGGTTGAGAAGGACTTTCGAACCCATGCGGTTGTTTCATGTACACAGTCTCGGTGAGATTGCCATGAAGAAAGGCATTCGCGACATCCAATTGATGAATGTGCCAATGATGTTGGACGGCAATAGTGAGGAAGACTCGTATAGTGGTGATTTTGGCGACGGGACTGAACGTCTCATTGTATTCAATGCCAAATTCTTGGCGGTAGCCTTGGGCTACAAGACGTGCTTTGTGACGAGCAAGTGTGCCGTCTGAGTGGTATTTGGTGCGATAAGTCCAGCAGCAGCCGAGCGGAGTAATGTGAGGAGGGGATGGAACTAGTGTCCAGGTCCCCTGGTTTTGGAGAGCGGCAAATTCCAGAGCCATAGCTGCTTGTCAGTGCGGGAGCTTCTGAGCTTCGGCTAAGTTTGTGGGTTCGGGTGAGCTGGGTGAGGTGGTCGGGGTAGTTATGTGGGAGAGATCGAGTAGTTTCTTGGGTTTTAGAGAGCCGGTTTGGAAGCGGGTTCTCATGGGGTGGGTGGAGGTAACGGGTGGTTGTATGATGGGATCAGGTGGACTGTAGGGAGCTGAGGTAGTTATGGGGTTGGGTGATGAGGTTGGCGCCGTAGCTGTAGTTGGAGGTGTAGATGGTGGGGAAGGATTGGGTGTAGGTTGGATTGGTGTGTTGGTGGTAGGCAGATAGGAGATGGGAGTTAATAAATGGGGATTGAGATGTTGGATAGTAGGTTGGTTGGACGTGGAGGATTGGTGGATGGTTTGGGAGTAGGGAAAATGTGACTCGTCAAAGATCACATGACAGGAGATGATGATTTTGCCTGTGATAGGATTCAGACATTTGTAGCCTTTGTAGGAGTCCAGGTATCCGAGGAAGATACGAGTGGCTTTGGGTTCCAATTTGTGGCGTTGGGAGGGATGTTTCCATGGGTAGCAGGCACAACCAAAGGTGCACAGGAGTGAGTAGTTTGGTAGTTGATCGGTAAGGATTTGGAGAGGTGAGACGTTGTTTGTGGTGACTGAGGGTAAGCGGTTGATGATGTAGGTGGCTGTAAGTGCCGCATCAGGCCAGAATATGGGTGGAAGGCTAGCGGTGTGAAGCAAAGCGCGCATTGTTTCCACGATGTGCCGGTGTTTCCGCTCGGCGGTGCCGTTCTGCTCAGGGGTATAGGGACATGAAACTTGATGCTGTATACCGTGGGTTTGAAGAAAATGTTTAAGTTCCCTGTTGAGAAATTCGGAGCCCCCGTCTGTGCGTAAGCGCTTGATTTTATGAGACAGTTGGTTTTCAATAAGGGCTTTGAATTTGTAACTTCATTTTTGTAGTTCATAGGAAACAGCCAGGTGAACTTAGAAAACTCATCAACAAAGAGCAAGTAGTATTTAAATCCCTGTTGTGATACAACCGGGGAAGGTCCCCATACATCTGAGTGCAGAAGTTGAAGGGGAGAAGATACATGAGTTGTAGATCTAGTAAAAACTAACTTATGGCCTTTGGAGACCTTACAAGCAGAGCAAGTGAAAACAGATGTAGGAATGAGGAGATGTTGTTGTTGAGTGGAGATTGTGCGAAGCACTTGATGATGAGTGTGGCCCAGACGATTATGCCATAATAGTGTGTTTGTTGAAATGGCAGAGAGAGCACTGGATGAAGCACTTGATGAGGCAGAGGGTAGTTTAATTCTATAGAGCCCATTTCGGCATGGTCCCTGAAGAAGTATTTGGCGAGTCTTGAGGTCGTGGATGATGAAGCCAGACGAGGAGAAAGAGATAGAGATGTTATTGTCGGACGTAAGAGTAGAAACAGATAGAAGGTTGTGTTTGAGATTAGGAACGTGATGTATAGATGAGAGGGATAACTTACGATTTGGCGTGGGAAGGATACCTGCACCTGAATGAGCTATTGAAAGCGCTTCTCCGTTGCCGACTGTGACGTTGTCCGATCCGAGATAGTTCGTGGGATGTTGTAGATTGTCCAGATGTGGTGTGAGGTGCGAGGTGGCACCCGAGTCGATGTACCAGTCGTTGGAAGCTGCTGAAGTATCGGCGACGAGAGCTTTGGTGGTGGTAGACGTTGGTGAAGTTGGAACGTAGTTGGCATTGAATCGATGCCAACATTGGGAAGCTGTGTGTCCTCGTTTGGAACAGATCTGACATACGGTAGGAGTGGTGGTAGATGTTCTATTGCCACTATTTAGCGGGGTGCGTCCTCTTCCTCTCCGGCCACGCCAGCGATATGTGTACAGAGCTGCGTGTGAATTCACGAAGTTCTGTTCACGCAGTAGCTCAGCGGCCAGATTGATCTCTTCGCTTAGAAGAAGCGAATATAGATTTTCAAGACTGAGAGGAGAGAGCTTCGTGCGGATGGAGGTCTTGAATGCTTGGTAGGAGGGTGGGAGGCCGTTCAATGTATACATTATGATATCTTCACTCTCTATCTTGGATCCGGCGGCGGCGATATTGTCCACCAGGGTCTTGATGTTAGTCAGGTACTGTTGCATTGTAAGATCCTTCATAGATATATTGTGTAATTCATTTTTCAATTGAATCACACGTGATCTGTTGGATGTCTGAAGACGAAGCGCGAGAGTCGACCAGATCTCTGCGCATCTTTCTAGATGAAGAACATATGGAAGGATTGAGGCTGTGATGGTGGAGCATATGGCTGCGGCTAAGTTTTGATCGGCAACTTTCCATTGGGTATAGGCTGGATTTATGATGGTGGAGTTGTCTGGCTGAAGGAGAAGACGCTGTGGGGTGATGAAGTTGGGATCTAGGTGATCTCCGAATCCATTAGCCTTTAAAAGCTTAAGGATCTGTGATTTCCACAGTGGGTAGTTGTCGTTTGATAGAGGCAGGGGAACGATGGTTTTAATGTTTGCTAAAACTAGTTTGAGAGCAGCGGTGATGGGTAAGGGTTCAGGAATCTTTTCTGTATTTGCCTCCTGTTGACCCCTATACATCAAAACACGCGAGAAAAGACTCAAACAGATAATGTCGTTGTGATCAGGACGTTGAATTCTGCAAAGTCGAGGCTCCTCATAGTCAAAACGTATGAGATTGGTCAAAAGAAATGACGAGCCCACACCTCCGCTACCGACGAGGAGGAAGAAGATTGTGCCATTAGGATCAAATGTAGCTGAGAAGAGCTCCTGCTCTGATACCATGAAGAACTGCCATGGATGACCTGAAAAGAAGATTAGCATAGAAAAGGAAAATAGCAGAACACGCAGAGTAAAGCTTTGTTCTCATTTTGCCATCGTTACTGTAGCACATTACCAATTGTATATATAGAGCATTGGTTGTACACGTGTATGCTTTGATTTGGTTAGTTATATATGAACGACTGGATCACTTCTGGGCCGTTTCTGATAAAGGTAGCTGGGTCGTTTCTGATAAAGTTGCTGTGGTAGTGGAAGCTGTCTTTAGAGAGAATTCATAAACAGAAATTTAATTGAGATATATTCCAACTCTTCCAACGAACAGAGAACAAGAAATAATATTGGAAATTCAATAGTGAAAGCTAGGAGACTATCCGAAATCCGAATCACATGGAAACCAAAAATTGACTGAACGATACAATATATGTAGTTGCAGGGATTCAGGGAACCTATGCAGATTTTTTGGTCTCTGTTGCTTTCTGGTCTTCCTCTTGCTTCTTCTTCAAAGATGGAGAAGGCCTGACCACAATGCTCCTTTTCCATTTTTTGTCAAGCTTCCTTGATAGCCTTTTATTTATTCCTTGTTCAATCTCCCTCTCCCTTTTGATAGTAAGCATCCGAGCAACCTTGATTCAGGAAAAGCCATAGCCGTCAGAATATGATGTGGAGCATAAACAATGATTAATGCTCTGTATGTTATGCAAACAAGCATTAAAAGCAAAAAAGGTTGACTAGTTCAACTTGTAAACAGAACACTTCAAATCATCTGACATTAGTTCATAAATCATATTTTCTACGGGATGAAAGTCTTCAACGATTGAGCATCAGAAACTCGCATTGGTTTTTTTACAAAAGAACTGATTTGATTTTTTTGGAGTAAACTAATTAAAACAAATTATCCTATTTTGCATTGATTACTAAACCCGCAATAGAATAATAATACAATCATAAAAAGAGTATTAAAGGTCTTTCCATGATTGTGACGTTAAAGAACAAATATGGAAAGGTACTTTAAAATTAGTTTAAATACAGTCGTGCAACTGGCATCAAAAAGGTGAGCAAACTATGATATATTGGAAACAATGCAACACATTCATATCATTGATCTCTAGCATGATTTGCATTGTATGGCTCAACAAGGACCATCCTAAAGAAAGCATTAGCTATCACATTATACATTTTATCTCACAGTGAATTGACAAGGGAACCATGCAAGCAATTCCAGCATTCGACTGAAACTATTAGTATATTCTTTATTTTTGAAGACTCTAGCATGATTGTCCATTGAAGTTGTGAAGATCTTAGATCCTAGTTTTTGCAACACGCCAAAAAATAAACCTCACGACAGTCCATGCATAGGATTGCATTATTTGAAGGTATCCTCTATAAGTTTCGTTTTGCATGTTATGAAACTTACCCAAAAGCTTAATCATGCCTTGTGCATTGCAGCAATTTACGTAGCCCATGTAGATGCACATCTTGCTAAGAGTTAAGAAGTAGCATATACAAGTCATTCTTTATGATCAACACAAAATTTAATGGCAGTGTGTAACTTCAATGAGTTTTAGGCTTCGTATGGGATGGCTTTTTTGTTGTTTCTTAAAGCAGTTTTTTAGTACAAAAATTAAAATTTTTATACTAAAAAACTACTTTTAGAAGCAACAAGAAAGTCGTCCCAAAAGAAACCTTAATCTTCAATGTATTGAGCTGGAAAGAAAGGGCAGCAGTCATATCTTCAAATTTGTCACCCAATACCATCAAAACAACCTTCAAATTTGTCACCCAATACCATCAAAACAACTTTCGAATGTAACCTCTTAATTAGTAGATGCTATTACAAAGGTCAACAATAATTTCTTTTTTTACTTTTTTTTTTTGTGCATATAATTTAATTGATGTTTACTTTTAAAGAGGATCTTGCAGATATTTGATATCCGATGCCATGTGGATTCCTAAAATCATTCCCTGATAAAAATATAACACTCATTATTTCCAAAAAGAAAATCAGGTGATATAATTTAGGAGATAGGAGACATTTATTTACTAAGAATACTCTGCCTTCGCAATTTAATTAATAAATAGGCTGGGGTATAAAAAATATGGGTCATTAAACGTGATAAACCTACATGCAATTGTTAAAAACAAGGTAAGACTGTCACGGGAGCAATGGCATTACACAACAGTTTATGCCTTAATTCATTTCGACATGTCACAAAGTTTAATCTTGTGAAATTGATCGTGCCTACATGTTACCTAAAAAATGAATATCAATTGGTCTAACAATTATAGATCTTGAGAAATTGATGAGGAATTTCATGGAGGGATGTTGAAAGTGTTGAGGAAATTATCAAATTACATCACATTATGATGTTACATTTTTTTATTTGAAGTTGGTGGTTTATGATTGATAGATGTATCTTGAAATAACTCTCTTGATGTTGATTGACAAAAAAAAAGACTTCTTTTAAGAAACAGTATCAATATATCTTTGTAAACAATGATGTGTTGCTTTTGTGGGGAAATGTTCAAGGGACAATATGACTCAATATTTTCTGTTTATTAGTACTAATAAATAGATTGATTGTGCTCCAATATAAAGGTCATATGCATCATTTGATCACATATAGCGGCAAACAGCCATCTAACTGTTGAATTTTCGGACATTGGAGCTAGTCATTGACTACTTCAGTTATAATAGCTTCAAACAACTTCTCTTTATTTCCAAATATTTTAGTATTTTTCTCCTGTATGATTGACTTTAAAAAATCAGTTCAATCAAATACATTCAACAGCTAATTAAATCTATTTTAAACAAGTTTGTTCGGCTAACAGTCTTGATTCTCAACAAACATGTCCAAAACAGTGTTTTTGATTGTCAACAAATCCCATACCAATGGCCACCACCATCCTTTCTCTATTAATGGTCTTCACCTCCCATTGTGGCTGGTATTAGGGTAACTAGGGCTGCCTTTGATCAACGTAGATACAAATATATGACTTACTTTTACACAAATATAAATAAGAGGATAGATTTTTAGATGGGTCCGTCTCTGATCAAGGTAGGCACAATTAAATGACTCACTTTATCACCTGAAGAGCACATTAAGAGGGATTACCATGCTTTAAATAGTTAGAAGTATGCAAATGACATCCATAAGAAAAAGTTAGCAGGTATAATAATATTGTAGTTTGGCATGGCAAAAATTCAAGTGATGCTCTTGTCAAATACCATCGCAGTCATCTCAGTCGTCCCTTCCCACTTGATCCTATGGCCAGCATGGGATCAGTAGGAGGCTCACATGAATCACTCCAATCTCCTCCTTCCATATTTGGGTGGTTGATTTAGGAAGGATTATATTAGTTCAATTATGAATTATTTTGTAATTATTTGTTTCCTTAATAGTAGGACTAAAAAAATCCATGGGACTACAAACTGCAATGAGAAGATGGCATATTGGATAGATGCATCGAGAGCTAGGATTAAGTATATACTATAAGCAAGCTAATTAGAAGATGTGCACATTTCCAAATCTCATGTAGACGTGCTTTGATCCTTGCAAAGACATGTTGGAGAAAATGTGTTGAGGGCTAAGATGGAGTATTCACTGATGCATCGTTTATAACCTACCAGGAGAAGTGTCCATTTTTGGGGGTTCTGATTCTCAGCGTAATCCTAATGGTGCATTACATAGGTGTAACTCTCTTGATCTCGTGTGACAGAAGTGTGGAAATTAAAAACAATGAAAGTGCAAAAATGATAAGTAAAAAAATAAAAAATAAGAGAAATAAAAAGTAACCGAGGCAAATAAATAAATATAGTACATTGATATTAAATTATTAACTAAACAAGTTGTATTAAAAAAAATAAATTTAACAATATAAGATGCACCACCAAGCATATTAAACCTTTAACAAGTTATTTGTTTAACACTAAACAAGTTACGAAATTAACATGTTGGATTGCATTTAAATTTGATTTATTTAATCACCGAACTTTTAAAAAAAAATTAAACTTGTCCAATTACCAACATGAATGAACTTGAGTGAATATTAATTGTGTCTAGTTCAAGTTATTTATTAAGTGCATTGGTTCAATTGCATTCCTAAGGTCAAGGTTTAAACCTTCGATTACATTGATGAGCCAACCATCTTTAGTAAGTCATTCTTTGAGGGTGGTCATATATGATTATAGATTCAAATTCTAATGTAGTTTCTCATTATTTTAGGTGGCATCAAAATTCTCGACACTTGAGCTAGGTATCCCAAGCTCAATAGGGATGATTACTTTAGTGCCAAAGCATGAGTGTTTCCTAGTGGGAGTTTGTACAATTGTGTAGTAGGCATAAAGAGCATGATGTAACTACTCGACCCATTGCCCCTGAGTCTTTTCCAAGCGTGTTTGGAGCCCTCTTAATATTGTGGTTGGTAGCTTCAACTTTTATGTATGTTGAAGGATGCACTATTGTCATGCATGTGGCTTACGGAAATTCATGCCCAACTATTCAAGAGAGTTTATGACTTGAGGTCAACTTTTTGAAAGGCATATTAGATTGCATTTAAGATATTATCCAAAAAAAATCATCATCATTTTGCGAGGAATATGATCGGACATGAAATGTAGGACTTACGACATTGCCCTATAGGCAAAGCAACCCGCTCCAAAAACATCACGCAAAAATAAGTTTGATTTACTACTTAAAAGAGTGAAATTTTTTTAAATAGTTGTCTGTTTTTCAAGGAATTGCACGATTCTAAAAGGAGGGTAAAATTGATTTATTTGTGCATAATAATCTCTTGAAACTCTAAATCTATGCAACAAAATATAAACCCTAAATACCCTTCACTCGTGTATCAAAACATTTTTAACTCTATTAAAAAATACCTTTTTAACTCTATTAAAAAATACCTTTTTAACTCTATAAATCGAGCCTTAACCTAATAGTTGATCCCTACTCCTAAACTGATGCTTATTTCTTGAAAAAATAGCACCAATGTATTTCCATTTGACTCTTATATAAATCTATAATTACCCTTTTGACCCTTTATAAAATAAATGAAATAGAATTTTCTCGTTATACATGTATGTATAAAATTTTTTTGAACTGTCCCAAAACTCAACTCTGGCCCCACCATCATTCAAAAAAGAATGGAGAACATAAAAATAAATTAGAAAATTTAATAAAAAGAAAATAGAAGCTAATTTTTCCATGAAATTAGCATCAAAAGCAAGGAATTTGAAAACATTGCTGAACATCAAGGGCAAATTGTGTTTAAAATGTGCTTGGCAGATCAAGGTACTAGAACTCAAATTCAAACTCTGGTAAATTCAAGAAAGTTTGTTATTTTTGTTCTCCATTGATGCAGTAATTCTATCCATTCCTTACGTAGATGATTTCATGTTTTTATTGGTTTTTCAGTGGTTAATTTTCTTTCGCAAGCCTTAAACTGTCTATTTTAGATATTTATTATAAATTTAACATTGCCGTTTAAGAAAATATTAAATGTTTAATAAAGGTGTATTACAACCTAAAATATCATCCAGAAACCTAAAAACACATTAATAAACAAATTTTCATATAATTTCCATGCAATATATTTCTAATAAATAAGCATGACACAACATCCAAAAATATATTTTTTGCAATTTTATCCAAATTTTACTATTTTACCAAATTTTAATCTAAATTAAAATCAGCAATAAAGTGAAAGTAACAAGAGTTGAATTCTTATGCTTAGCTTAATTTTATTATCAGCAGCATTGTAACATCCAGGGCATTTACGGCGTATTGTATTCAATCACAATTTTGCAACTTGTACACTATCATCACTCATTGCATCTTACGAATGGCATGTTCATAAATGCCATACCAATGATTGTAACCATGTTTGCATATTTGATGGAACGCAATGACCTTCTGTATTCTTAGGTGGCTAAATGACATATAATTTTACTTTAATTACCATCAACTGTGTAAATTTCACAAAATTAGAAGTGCTAAGAATAGGTTGGTAAGCATTGCCAAAAGAGCTTAGCAAAGCATAGACTATGATGTTGAACGATTAGGCGGTTATCCTAAGACTACATGGGATGAAATGAAACGTATGCTTAAACATGAGTGTCCTGCAACTTGTTACAGGACATGATTGTTTGATCAAGTAAGAAACCTTAGGCAAGAAACTGTTAGACCGGTTCAGCTAGTTCATACAGGACCGACTTAAAGACGAAACAGGCGGAAGTTCCACCTCCTGTACGCACGATCCGATCGCCCCGGCATGAGAGAGCTATTTAGGAAGGATTTTTGAGGGAATTATAGGGGAAATTTCAAAGCAGGGGTTGTTTAGAGATTTCCTTTTGAAGTGTATGCATTAAATAATTTGTTTACCTAGGATTAGGGCATCTTGAATTGGGCTTAAATTTGAGATCTCTTAGGTTTAGGTTTTTGGGCTCTAGTGGCATCTAAAGATTTGGGAGAGGTAGATCCTCCTCTCAAATAGGAGATCAAATATATCTTGTAATTTTTCTTCCGTTAGTTTGATTATGGCTGTAAAATTACTATTTTTCTTGTTTCTTTCCTTTGGATTTTTGGATCGTTCTCATTGTTTTTATCAAGATAGTTAGGTTTTACATGAGAATTCCAAGTATTTCCTAACAAATTGGTATCAGAGCAATTTTTAGGGTTGAAATAGAAGTCTTCCTCGCTGAATTTTGTTGCATTTTGTATCTGATATTGTTGTTTTTGCTAATATGAGGGCAAAATTCGCGTCAAACTTGTTGCTCTTTGCTATTGGAGCCTAAATCCAGGTTCCCATGGCATAAAAAAAAAGTAGAAGTGTTGAAAGGATAGATCGGATAATTGAAAACTGAAATTTCAGATCTGCACACTCAACTTTCATATGTCAAAAGTTAAATTTCCGCTATCCACAAGAAGATGGATGGGAATTTTTATAGCCTTGGGGGAGATGTTGAAGAAAGTGCTTGAGGGTCAAACCAAAATATCGCCGTTGGAGGTGAGAGGAGGCGACAACGACCAAGTGGGGAAACCCCTAAGCCAATCAGACGAAGGGAAGATCAAGAGGTGGAGACTTGGAAGAGAGAAGAGAGAATACCTTCCCTAGAGCCTATTCCTAGGGAAGAGTCAGGTAGAGGGTATGGGGAGAGGCGTGAGAAGGTAGGGCAAGAACGAAAGGGTGTTGAATTTGAGAGGAAAGGGGCGGATTTTGAAAGGGAAAGTGGAAATTATGACCGAAGGGTGGATAAATTTAAAAGGAGAGGGTTTATTATGATCCAATGGGTGCTGAATTTGAAAGGAGAATGTGCGAAGTTGATTAAGGTTTGGGTATGAGCATAGAAGGGATAATTAGGACACTTGGGGAGAACCACCTCCTTGGGGAATGGGAAATTATGGAGGGAACAGAGGGAACGGAAGCAATCTAAGGTTTAGGAGAGATGGATCATCCTCTTGAGTAGAGGATCAATTGTATCTTGTTATTTTTCTTCCGTTAGTTTGATTATCGCAGTAAAATTATAATTTTTCTGGATTTTTTTTTTAGATTTGTGGATCCTTCTCGTTGCTTTCATCAAGATAGTTAGGTTTTACATGGGAATTCCAAGTATTTCCTAACAGAAACTCATACGTTTGTCACATAAAATGTGTCAAAAATGTAATCTACCTAGGAATCCTTGAATTATATGATCCAAATTCATCTAAGGCCTTGAGCCAAATATTAGAAAAGAAAGATAAGGATTTATGTAGCCCTCACAGTAGAAAATGCTTGTCATAATTCCATTTGGAAAACCCCCATCATAGGTTCATTCTGCCACATACCATTGTTTTCAAAACAATTTTTTTTATTTTCCATTTGGTATGTAATTTCTTTACTAAACACACCAATATTAGGTAACCGAATTAATCCTTGATCCCATTGAAGATGTTGAAGATCACGGCCTTCCTAATGATGAGGAAGGCAAATTTTACAGGATTTCTAAATGCTAGAAAACGGTCCTGATGATACATCTGTAGTTCCCAATATTAACATTGAAATTGCCTCATAATGTTGACCTCGTAGTTTATAACCTAGCATCTTGAATGAGAAATTAGAAATTAGAGCATTGATCATAATAACTATAAACATTAAAAACTCCAACTATTCATAAATTTTTCTCTAATCTCAACCTCTGACGCAAATTACTAAATTAGCACTCTTTTGAATCTAGAAATTTATCCGCAACTCTCCATAAGTAGTTCTATGATCCAACACAAGCTTCAGACCTAAGTAAATCCAAAAAATAACAGCAGATTGTTGTCTGTCCCTAAGCCGGTTGGTTGAGAACTTTGTCCCCGTCGAAGAGTTATTGCATTCCAGAATTAGGATATTTGTAAGTATGATTTGCTTGAGCACTCAACTTCCAAAAAACAGGAGAAAAAACATTCAAAAAGCCATTCAGAAATGGGAACACATAAAACTGTCGCAGCAAAGAATCAATTTACCCATTCACAAAAGAAAAAAAAATACTGCAACGAAAAAATATAATATGGGTCATCTTCCCATGAGAAGAAGAGCGACATGGTCCAAAAGGAATAGATAATAAGAGAGAAATTTACCCTTTTCCGCATGAGACGGAAATCGCTGGATTTGAATTCATTCCTGGCAGACCTCTGAAGCCTGAGCATGAAAAGCTCCCCCTTGAGGTCGATAACCTCCTCGTTTAGCTCCTCCGTCGTCCGACCTCGTAACTCCTTCAATTCCTCTCCCCTCTTCGCAGCCCTAACTAAAATGCGTTCTCCAATCCTACGTAAGGAGGGTGGGCCTAGAGCTTTAGCGGGACAGCACTGGATTCGGATCCCGTTGAACGAAGAGATTAGAGATGGAAGAGAAAATACTTTTCTGTTTGACGAAGATATTGAAGGGTAGTACGGCGAGAGGTGAAGACGATGGGAGGAAGGAAACGAGAGGCCTAGCGCCATCTTCTTCGTCCCCGCTGCTTTCTTTGCGAGCAGAGTAAGCCGTTGTAGGATGGATGCACACCTTTGGATAAGGATAATTGAAAAGTACTGCACATTAGGAAGATGCTGGGAGTTGGAGGGATCCCTTCGTGGCAAAATCAAGCCCGTTCTTAAAAGAAAAACAACAAGCTATTTATTTTTAAAAAAACATCAAAAAAATTATTTAAAATTAGGGATTTACATACATATCAATTTATTTCATATTATATATATATATATATATATATAACATTCAAAATATTAATATTATATGCCTATCTTTCATAGAATAAATTTAAGTGTATGAAATGAAATATTAAAATTTATAGAATGATATGAATGATAGAAATGAATTATAGGAGTTGTATATTTGATATTAAAATTTTATATAGGTGGTAGGTATGTAATATTAATATATTGGATGTTAGATATATAAATAGCATGAAATAAAATGATATGTATGTAAATTTTCCTTAACTAATTCCCTTTTGGATTATATAACTATTTATTGAAGTTTGTGATGGTTGAAATTAGTTCGAATCTAATTCTAACATTTATTTAAATCTAGTTCGAATATTTATTTATGAATATGTCAGGTCCAGCGGGACCGTTATGCCTTTGCATCAGTCTAGTGATGACTTCCACAATGAGCTCCATGCTATAAGTCTAGGTAAAAGTCAAGTCCCAATAACCTATTTTAGGAATGAACAAGTCATGAAAAGGTTCATATTTAGCCAAATCATTTTAGTTGAGGTATGTAACGCCTCAAAATCAAATTTGAAAGAATACACAACTCTCCTTGACCTATTGGTTGAGAGCTTAGGCTTCCAACTAAGAGGTTCAGGGTTCGAGTCTATGTGTATGCGTTGTGTGTGTGAGTTTGCCTTAAATGGCCTAAATGTCCAAAAAAAAATTTGAAAGAATTATCCATTTATCATTTTAAGAATATACTAGATCTTCTATAACTTTTCAATATCAATAATAACTAGTGAAAGTAATTAAAATCATATACATCAATATATTTTACTATTTATTTATCCAAAATATCATTTACATTAGCCAAGAAATCACTACAATAACTAATTTATCACAAGATCTTGCTTACAAAAGACTAAAAAAAATTTGATGATCTCTATCAATCTCACTCCAACTGATCCTGACCTTTTTCGTTACCTGAAATTAATAAAATCCACATAATGAGCTCAAAAGCCCAGCAGTAATCAAAAACTCACTAAAGCTTTCAATGCAATGACTAAAGAATCAATATGAAATGTTCAGTTTAATATAATCAATAACAATCAATATAGTTATTGACCATATATTATTATTAAAACTCATAATGATCAATAATGAAAACAAAGAATCATTACAATGAATCTAAAAATTAATAATTTATATTCATAAATCACTAAAAGAATCTATATTATCTATTCATATGCATCATATATTTATTTATCAATGATATTAATGTATCTGTCAATGTCATTAGTGCTATCAATGTATGCATGTATTAATATATGATTTAACAATGCAGCGTATCATACTTTAACATGATGTTTTCACCATCTTTTACCCCAATTGATTCTCAGTTGATTCTCAATCATATCAATTCTGTTCAATAGAAAAAAAAATTATGTAATAATCAAAATCATTGAAAATTAAAATGAGATTTAAGTTGCTTGCAACAAATTTAAGAAATCTCTAAATAAAATTGATAAATAAAAAAGCCCTATATAAACTTCTCTCTCTTCTTCTATATGCACAGCACAAAAATTTATATTTTTCATGGATTATTACAATCCACCCACCTTATTAAGAATTTGAGCACAAAATTAATATCAAGAAAATACATAAAATTAAAACTCAAATTGAATCGAAACAAATCACGAATCAAAACTCATCAAACTCAATCAGTTATATGCATAAATGACAAATCTATACTACCCAACTTCTACCCCACTCATAAATTAATTCTTAAATTTCTGGTTACAATATAATTCTTCCAACAACCGCTTCGATATCAATTTATAACTCCACAAAATCAAATTTGAAAGAATTATTTATTTTATCATCTTAGTAATCAACAAGAGCTTATATAACTCATCACAATAATAAACATATATCCAGTAAAAATAACTAACAATTACATATCTCAAAATATTACATAATATTCATTCTCTCCAAATCAATATACAATATAGTTAGGAAATCAGTACAATCAATAATTTATCACAAGCTCATGACTACAAAAGAATAAAATAAATACAAAACAAAATCTAAAGAAAATTTGATGATCTCTTCAATCTCACTCCAGCTGGTCATATCCCCTTCGATGGCCTAAAATCATTAAAATCATATCAATTATCACTTATCCAATTAATCAATTATCATATTCAATTAAGTAAATCAATAAAAAGTTGTCACTCTCTGTCTATCGGTGTAATCGATCTTCTATTACAGACTATAATCAGGAAAACACCACAAATCATATTTAAAGGAAAGCCCGTCGGCCACCCTCTTGCACAGAATATTATGTTTTAATAGCAAACACATTTTATAATATTAACAATCAGTCTTTCTTGCTTATGCAAATGCCACAATCAAAATACAGGAAGAAATAATCAATTTTGTTCAATACAAAAAAGCTATAAAATAATCAAAATCATTGAAAACTAAAATGAGATTTGAGTTACTTATAACAAATAGAAAAAATCTCTGAACAAAATTAACATATGAAAAAGCCCCGAACAACCTTCTCCTTCTATCTCTTCCCTCACTCTTCTTCAACAAGGCACAATGTTGAAATTTAGATTTTTCATTTCAAAAAAAACTATATTATTACAAGGTATTATTATGCTAAGTGGATTATGTCTTATCATATCCCACAAAAATAAGCAATACTCCTTTAAGGATGGATGAGGAAACTGATCAAATTTTTTGGAAAAGATTCAATTGCTTGACATCAAAGGGATGTCATATTTGTTAACTTGTGTTATGTTTTACTTATTGCATTGCACAAAATATGCTTAGAGTTTACTTAATCAATCTTCCACTAAGAATCATGTGAAGATACAATCACTCAATCAGGGGAAAATATTTATAATGAAAAATGCAATTATTAAAGTCAATTAAATTGCATGATGGAGGGTATTTCCACTAGCTTTCTTATTAACAAAAAATAACAGTTTAAATCACTAAATTATTAATGCAATTTAAATTCACTAAATAATTAATGCAAACATTAGCTACCAATTCTACCAAAAAAAATTATAACAAAAAATAACGGTTCAAAATCATTAAAAGATAAAAATGAACAATGAGAATAAGTTAGAACTCTCAAATCTCGAATCAATGAAAAAAAATAAACAATAGATCACCTGGAATGACGACAAGCGACGGAGAGGTTGAGAGCTGCGATTTTGTAGAAAGAGTGAGATCTAGGATGAGGAGGAAGCAGTGGGATGAAATAGAGCTTTAATCGACGAATTTTCGGTGGAAAACTTTGATGGTATTTAAGTAAAGTTTACGTGAAAAAATCCGCCCGCAAAGCCTCATAGCAAAAAAAGCACCGAGGGAATACTCGTTGAAAATTTTTCGCCTTCATTTCCAATCGAATTGCCGGCAACTCATCCGCCAGTGAATGCCAACCGCCAACGTATGACAAGCTAGAAATATCATCAGAGAATCTAGCGGAAAGTTTTGTCGGTATTTCCCTCGGTATTGACCATTTTCATGTAGTGTTTTCCACCTTTTACCATGGAATTCATTTTATATAGCTTATGTTTATTATATAGTATCAACACAGTTTTCTAATCACATGAAGGACATCATTTATAACTTATAACAAATACTGGTGAATCATTTTAACTGAGTTAAAGCCTATTGGATTTTTCCTTTCCAAACTTTCTACATAAAAAAGCATATTAAAACTCATTGAAATTGATGGATGTGAATCAATGAAAGAACCACCACTTATATCTTATGTCATGCTGCAATTTATAATGGACTGTATTTATTTTAATCTTACGTAAATGGCTGACCTTTAACGTTTTTAAAATCTAAGTAGGAAACTTTGGGAAGAATTGAAAAAGAAACGCCAAGAGCTGTACAAAAAAAAAAGAATATTTTGTAAACATTTTATCTGATATCCTCCTTCTGGGAATGACAACATGAAAGCAAATTCTCCATATTCAGAAGCTGGTTTGGCTAATGAATTAAAGTCAAGTCAGATATTGGGAAAAAAAAACGGTCAAAATTCAAACTTGGCTGCTACAGCCAGAAGATTTCTTCCATCTGAGATCCACCTTATTTCTGTACAAATAAAAATAAAAACAAAGTCCTTCACTGAAATAATTATAACCAGAAAGGATAGATACAATTCTGCAAGCCTATATATTCAAGAGGCTAAACTACTGACAAAGAACCACCAGAGAAGGCAAATGGGTCTCCCTAAACCCTCCTTGGCTTTGATGCTGCTTCTATGTGGTTAGTTTCATTCTCTTTCAATTATCTTAGCATAAATTTATAACACTAACTAATTTTTTTTTTTTTTATGTAAGGGATGATTCTGCTTAGTGATCTTCAAGAAATAAAGGGGGCCGTTGCTTGTCCTCAATACTGTCTTGATGTGGATTATATGACTTGTGCTTCTTCTGGAGATGAAAAACTAGCTGCTAGATGCAACTGTTGCCTTGCTCCAAAGGGATGCACCCTTCACCTTGTTGATGGCCAAAATGTTTATTGTGCTTGATGTGTTCTTAATCTGATTAAGAAAATAGTTGTGATCTTTCTAAGGCTTCGTTTGGGGCGACTTTCTTTCTGCTTCTTTAAGCAGCTTTTTATTATAAAAATTTTAATTTTTTACTAAAAAGCTGTTTTATGAAGCAGTAAGAAAGCTGTACCAAACAAAACCTAAGTCTTCAGTGTTATAAATAAGTGAGCTGATTATGCGCAAGCTCGGTCTATATGGTTTATTCAACTGTTGTTTGAATATCTATGTAAGGCCGTGAAAGAAAATAAAAAATAAAATTATCAGAAAATTTGTTAAGGGATCAATTGATTGCTTGTTCAAGTTAGAAAATAAGTTTTTTTAATTTGTAAATGTATTAGATTTGAATGTTTTATCATATGATCATCTTGATGTGGTTAAAGGTAATGAATTTTGGTTAAAGCCAACGAAGTTTTTGTTTTAGATTTCGTTTGAGACAGCTTCCTTAATGCTTTCTAAAGTAATTTTTAGTTCCAAAATTTTTTGTGTTGAAAAGCTTTTTTAGAAAACAGTCCCAAATGAAGCAGAAAAAAAGTCATTCCAAACGAAGTTATTTTAATTTTAATTTTGTATTAAAAAGTTATTTTAAGAAGCAGAAAGAAAATCATTCCAAACGAAGCCTTAATTTCATGTTAGATTTTCTTAAAATATTATATTGATATAAAAATATCTATCAATTAGTTGGCGTTTATCTATTTTTTTAAGACAACCGCAAAAGCAATCTCTTTAAAGAGATTTTTTATTACGTCCGGTGTCCTGACGTAGCTCTACATTCGGACGCCAATAACATGTCGCCACGTGCTCTTAATCTTTACTGCACGGCCCGACGACCCGACCCGGACCGGAACCCGGTATTGCTATGTTCGCGTATTGCTAGGTATTGCTCGGTATTGATAGATATTGCTTGGCAATAATGAGAAATACCACTTTGTCAAAACCAATACCTAGCAATACCGAGTAATACCTAGCAATATCGGGTAATACCTAGCAAAACCGGGATATTGCTCGGTATTGCTAGGTATTGGTCTTGATAGAATGGTATTTCTCGTTATTGCCGAGCAATATCGAGCAATACCTAACAATACTCCTGTTTGCACAAATCAGCATATACTTAGCAATCCCGGGTCATATCGTCGGGCCGCGCGGTAAAGAGTAAGAGCACGTAGCAACATTTTACTGGCGTCCGAACGTAGAGCTACGTCAGGACACCGGACCTAATAAAAATTCCTTTAAATGATGGGTAAAAAATGACTTGGCCGTGCATAATCTTAGGGTTGAAATAGAAAATTTAGAAGAAAATTAAGAATTTTGAATGAATATATTTATTGGAAACCGAATTTTTAAAATGCGCATTCTACTAACTACTAAGAAAAGAAAAATATTTAACATGTGCAATTGCTCACCCTAAACTTTTCCAAAGACAACTTGTGTTTGACTTGTCAAAGAACTTAAAAATAGTTTATGCATTTGTTAACTAAGAATTTTTTGGGTCAATTCCTTATCAAATCAAACACAAACAAATCTTCATTAAGATATATATTAACCATTGAATATGTACATATAAACTATTGAAAATAATGAAAATTTTCAACTAAGATGTACTTGTTGTAAATTAAAATGTCACCGTTATTAATGAGTTTGACCCTCTCTTTTTTTTAATAATAAAAAAATTCTTATGAGTTTGTGAAATCCTTCCATTGATTAATATGCTTATTTGTGTTCGCTTATATTTGTGAACAAGTAAAATAGTAACGTACTGAATACAAACAACGAAATATCATGCGTTGACGATTACGAACCTATCACGTTACATGCAATGAAATAAAAATTAAAAAAAAAAATTTAATAAACTGAAAAAAAAAATGTACTTAAAAATTACCTACTACTATCTCTCGATCATTATTGTCCAACTATGATATCACAATCACTATAGTCTGACTATGATCTCTAGACTATTGTTGCACAATCTCTTGACAATCATTATCCAAATATAGTTTGTCAATCAATGTTGTCAAACTATTATCACCTTGTTACAATCTCTCAGCCGTTGTCACATGATTACAGTCTCCCAATCATCATCGGGTTATGGTGGTCAATAGACTGTAGTCGGGCGAAGGTGGTTAGGAGATATTAGTAGACCATCATCATCCGACAACCAACGCCCTACTACGATCTCTCAACCATTGTCATCCAACTATGATCTCCTAATCATCGTCGTCCAAATATAGCCTCCCAAAGATTTTTGCATGGTCTGTTGTCCCATAATCTAACAACAATTTGTCCACCACCATTATCACATTATTATCATCTGACTATAATCTTTCAGCAATAGTAAATTAGATTATGATCCTCCGATCAGTATTACCATATTATAGTCTCTCAAACATTGTTGCACTACTAATATCTCTCAATCTTCATCACTTGATTGCAATCTCTTGACCACCATCGCAAGATTATGGCCTCCCAATTGTCGTCCTCTGACTATGACCGCCTAATCATTGTTGCCTAACTACAGTCACTCAACCACTACCACCTCATTACGATCTTTTGACGGTTGTCATTTGATTAGTGTCCAACAATCATCACCAAACTACCATTACTCAACACCAACATCAATGCCAACAAACTTTTTCGTCTGGCACGCCAATAATGTCAACTCATGACATCACCAATAAACCTAAAAAGTGCCATCAACACCAACTCAACTTCTAACATCAAAACATATGAGTTCTCAAATCCATACCCTCTGTGACTAAAACAAAAGCTCCTGAATACTAACTAACGATTAGCTACATACATTTCTGTTAGTGTTTTTGTGATCTAACTTAATGTAGTTTTATCTTTTCTATATATAAAAAAAAAATTATATATAGAGTGAAACAGTGATCACGCAGGGTGCAGGATTGCCGCGCATGAAACACGAGGCCGAGTCGCAGGCCGGTCACGTTGGAGGTAGTCACATAGAGATGGGCAAGCATACAAGGATTTGTTGGTTTCATACTGGTGTTCCAGGAGATCTAGGAAGCTCTGAGCAGGCAGCATATAGGGCGTGAGCAGGCGTGTGAGGCGAGAGCGGTGCAGGGCACAGAAGAACGCGGTGCAGGGCACGAGCATGCCTTGTTGTAGCAAGAGCATGGGCAGATCATGGACTGTATACGAGCGATCGAACCGGGGCACAGGTGTTGGACACGCGGTTTGCTCGTGGGTTGGGCTTCGGGTTGTAGAGGGACCTACGTCATGTGGACTTCAAGCGGCACATGAATAGAGGCTGCTCTTGGACGGGTTCGAACGGGTCCTTCGTGCAGATTCATGTGAACAAAAGGGAAAGGGTCCGGGTGCTAGGCTCGGGCAAGCAGGAGGCAGGCTACACATGTAAAGGGCATTGATCGGTCGGTCGAATTGAGCAAGAAAATATTAAGAAGAGGCGAATAATATTTCTTCTTATTTTCCAAGGAATTTAATCAGGTGGAGTAGAAGCACCTACTGCTCCAAATAATGTCAATAAAAAGATTTGAGATAGACAAATTTACATACGAGAAAATTTTTATTTTTTGGAAAATAAAGCTAAATGCGTTGTTAGTCCATCCGGGGTTGTCAGAGGCAATATTCAAAGATGGATTTATGGCATTGACAGATCACATAAAGGCAAGGAAAATGCAATTAAAGTCTCACAGCACTATATTGCTCTCCCTTAGTTATGAAGTGTTATGTGAGGTTGCTGAGGAAGAAACAGCCATCGAGGTATGACAAAAACTAGAATCCATCTATCTGAAAAGGTCTCTTACAAATAGATTGTTCTAAAAAAAGATGCTTTATACACTCCAAATGGAAGAATTGAAGGATATTCGAAAGCAAATGGATGACTTCAATAAGATAATTCTTGATCTCAAGAATATTAGCATGTGATTGATGAGGAAGATCAAGGCATCATCTTGCTTAGCTCGCTGCCAAAAGCCTATGAACACATTGTTGATACAATGTTGTATGAGAAGCACTTTGACGATGACTGAGGTAAATTCAATATTGATGTCAAAGGAGATTCAACAGAAATGAGAGATTGAGGAGGAGAAGAATGGTGATATGTTGCAGGTTAGGGCTTTCATTTGTGTCTCTATAAATAGATGCAAAGAGAATGCAATACAGGAGGCATACCAATAAATATATTCCATGCTTTAATCCTGGTAAGCTCTCCCCTCTCCCTCTCTCCAATTTCTCCTCAAGAATCCTAACAATTTTACCATTTTAGCCTATTCTAAGAATTACTTTCTCCATCACCTTTCTTTTAATGACAGTGAGTAATACAATATATTTCGGCCTTTTTTAAAAAATTCAGCCGAATCCCTCACATACTAAAAAGAGTTACGTAAATACAAAAATTAAATAAAAAAAGTGAAATATGTAGCTTTCTTTTTTTACAACATGCACAAATCACACAATGTAATTTCCTTCACAAAATTCACCTTCGCTCGAATTTTCTTACTAAAAACAACCCTAGCATTCACTCATAGTACAATTCTACACCTCCACACAATCAAACAACCCAATTCTGGTAGGCTGATCCGCCACCCACAAGTCACAGAAGTAATGATTAAATTAGGAATGTAGATATTCATTGTGCTCTTTTGTAAGAAATTTTTTTAAACATTTTATAATATGTAATTCACTGCTCTTTTGTACTTTCACTTTTGTTGTCATTTTCATGTGTTTTTATTGTCCTTTTATTACGCTTTTACTTTTGCTGCCCCTTTGATGCATTTTTACTTTGTGAGCAGTGAAATGTTGCCATAAAAAATAAAATGACCTAAAAAAACGAATCCAATTAAATCTCCAGGTGTCCACTACACTTGTCAAAATTTAATTGGAGTTCGGACGTAGAGCTAACTCCGGACTTCCGGAGCTCTAAGTCCGGACTCCAAACCAAATAATTTTCCAAAATCTCCAGCCTATTATGCTCAGTTCATATTATTTTCTGCTGATAGTCATATAGAATTATCAAGTAGAGAACTACTTAGAGCAGTTTTTTAACGGTTTTATTTTCCAATAAACTACCATAGTAGTTTATTATCATTTTTCAAAAATTTATAATGCCCATAGCAGTTTTTTAAAAAATATTTTTCCTGCAACAATCCTAAAATTTTTTTAACTTTCAGCGACTCCAAAGGAATCCTAAATTTGAATTTCCGTTAGTATTCCAACTACAATTCAAATTCCACTGTATCCTACAATAATTAATTTATCTATATCAAATCAGCACAATGAGGAGTCGTTCATTGCCTTTACAATGAGCTCCAAGTTTAGCAGTAATATGTGAAGTATGCCAAAAACACTTAAAGCTTGAGTTCTGCACCTTAGGTTAGTCTTCCTTCTTCCTAGCAGCGTATGGATACCGCTGATATATGAAAATACTGCTCATAACAAGTGGCAATGCAGCAAGGCAATAAAGAGATGGTGATTTGCTGTCGAAAATAAATTGCAGTAGCGCGGTAACTAAGAGTGCGGAGACTATAACAAAACCCTGCATAGTTGCAGAAAAAATATATTAGCAGAAGCCTCTGAGAGTACGAAGAAGAAGAAGAAGAAGCAAGAAAATGTCATCTGCTTTCCTTCCGCACACCACCGGCATGTGCTGTTACAAGCCCCACAAGAATTCCTCCGACAGCATTGAAGATTACTGGAACCTGAAGAATAGATTTTAGGAGATTGTGTTGGGAGTTTAGCCATTAATTTGACAAAATATCGATGGTTGCAGCAGAAGATGAATTAGCTAGTGGATTGATGACAAAAGATTTTGTTTCTATTTCTAATGTTCTATATCCTTGTACAACTTGAGTAGGTGAAACTTCTGGTTTTTTAATGGAAAACTTTCATAGATCGGTTTTTCTTTAATAGCTTCATTATCATTGAATTTCCAAAAGGCAATTTCCAGCATCTAAGGCTTCCTTTTGGATGTCTTTGTGCCTCGTAAAACTGCTTTAGAGAAACTAATTTTTTAAAACTGAGGTAGAAAGTAACTTTCTAGAGAGCAATAAAAAAGTTGTGGACAAATAGAAATAGTGGTTACAGTCTGAAAAGCTAAGCAATAAAAAAATTATCTCAATTAAAGCCTAAATGTCAAAATCAATTGCTTAATTTAAAAGATTGCTTAAAGAAATTTTTTATTTATAAAACTTCCCTGATAACTGAGACCATGTAAACACGACAAAAGATCAATTCTTACAGAGAACAATTCCTTATAAAATTCAAAAACAAATGAGAATGGATAAACGGTAGAAATAAGGTTCTGGGATGAATGAATGTCTGAGTGTGTAGTCTCGTCCATGAATCTGAATTCTGGTATATGGCTCGAAAAAGGACTTATGGCTTTTTAAAAAGTGCTTATGATTTTAATCCATTAAATTACTGATATTCAAATGATCCAATAAATTAAGTAAAACCAATAGTATTTTGTGCTGCCATGTTTAGCTGAACTTATAAGATACTAGAATTCCCAGAGATAGAGAGAGTGTTGCCAGTATCTCATCACCAAGAATTTCACTAGAGAATAGATTATGCACCAAAGCTAGTTCTAAGGACCCGTATAGACCAAAATAATTGAATGACATCAGACTAATGAATTAGAGTAGGTGAAAATTATGTGATCTCCTTCAGAAGAGAGGGCTGAGAAAAAAAGAGCTATTGGAAGTTTCATTAAGGTAATGTTACACAGGCGTCAATTTTAAGCACTATATACTCAAATAAACTACACAATTAGTAATAAGGGATGTTAGAAAATTACCAAAGTCCATGGTGTCCATCCATAAAAGAATCCATGCTTTTTTATAGCCACCCCATCTGGAGACTTGTACAAACTTGCTAACAAACACAGACTTCCAACCACTGACATTTCTATAGTCATCAAATATGACGTGTGCTTCTTGACCTGGGAAAGAAGATGCGACCATAGTGTAATAAAATAACTGGCCAGAAAGCATTTTCACCAGATCAAAGATTAAGGTTTTGTTTGGGACGACTTTTTTTACTGCTTCTTAAAGCAGCTTTCTTGTAAAAAAAAATATTTTTTGTACTAGAAAGCTGTTTTAAGAAGCAGTAAAAAAGTCGTCCCAAATGAAGCCTAAAGCAAGTCTAACCTGAGAAGCCCATTGGCACAAAGAAGATGCCAATCCAGATAACACTGAAGCAACCATAACTGGAACTATTCCATAAAATAAAACCTGATCAGCGTTTTTGTCACCAGAACCTTTGGTAGATCCCTCCCCCACACTTAGAAGAATAGCAGCAATGATTAATAAGCTAAGGGCTCCAACTTGTTGAACTGACTGTTTTTGCCTGCAAACACAAAAAAGCACACACAATGAAACGAAAGAAAATAACAACTATTAACATTCATAGCTTTTTAATGCAGCTCAATCAGCCTTTTCATGGCAATTGTACACATGATGAGAATTGCAATTCGCATCATTATTAACCAAGATAGATGAATAATGTGCTTCTAAATGATGATCACAGTAAAAAGTAATTTAAAATACGATATGTACTCTAAGGAATGCAGGGGCACTGAGATGGGGAACCTTAGTTCTTCTGCTCCACTATGATTTCTATTGGCATCATATTAGTTATCACTCGACACTAAATACAATGAAAATTTAGCAAGAGCGCAGGGAAAAAAAGGCTTAGATATCATGTCATCCGGGGACTTCCAATTTCCGTAAATTACTCAAAAAGTACTATATTGTTTGCAACTAGGAACTGTTAGCGCATCTCTATTTCAGATTTTTACCCATACAACAGTCACAACCAATCAAAAGTATTGTTGCGGGCTAGAATATACGCGGCGGTAGAGTTTGCAAATTTACGTCTGAGCGTTGTTCGAATATTCAGCACAAAAACATAAAAGAAAGTGAACACCAGGATTTTTATATGGAAAATCCTAAAAAGGGGAAAAACCACGGGGCCACGCCCAGTTGAAAAGTTCCACTAGTGTTGCGTAAATTACAAGAAGCTGATTCGTCTCACAAGTTAGGACAATAAGATTACACTAAGTTTCTCCTGAATTAAAACAAAGTTATGCAAAATCCCGGACTTCCCGAATATCCGGCAGAATTCCAGCGTATTCAGGGCGGGGGTCGAGGAGGAGCTGATTCTCCTCTTCTTCTCTTCTTCTGGCTTCTCTCTCTTCTCACTTGAGTCCCCTCTTATGAGGAATGAGGGCTCTATTTATAGTTTTCTGGAGTGGCATAGCCCGTAAATAGGTGTGAGATCAGGGGCAAATAGAGAGTGGCCGAATGGACGGCTGATATTGAATCCTTCGATCGTGCACCGTTCGTTGGACATTTGAGGGCCTTAGTGACGTCGGAATCCGGCGATCTTGGGCTCGTTGGATTCGTCTCGTCGAGCCGTTCGATTTGAGTATAAGTTCGTTAAAATCGGAGACCGTTTGGTAACTCAAATTGTGGTTTGAACCTTCCAACAGCGCTTCGGGTCCTTGATTTGGACCCATTTGGGCTCGGATTGGGTTGAATTTGGTGTAATTGGGTTCGTAATTCCGAGACGCTCAGTTTGACTATAAGCTCGCTGAAATCGGAGTTCGGGAGCTCCCAGATTTAATTTTTGAAGTTTCCGGGTTGGTTTTTGCCTCGAGATTTGTGCCCGATCAAGATAATTTCATGATGACGTATCAAGTATAATGAAAAATATCAAATCTCCAAGGTCCAGTGGAAACTTTTAAACTCTGTTGGTTATAGTTACGGTTCCATTTATAAGAAAATCAACAAATATACTCCAAAGTTATTAACAGATTCCCCGGTCTAGGTGAGCAAGCAGAGGTGGCAAAATTTATAACATTTCAAGCTCCTTCAAGATAAGCACTTGATGTTGGAAGCAAGAGATTCTTCGTCAATGCACTCCCACTGTTATTTAATATGTTTGTCGATCTTCCTATGACCTGCATATTATCCTAGTCAGTTTTCAGTTTTATATGAGGCATAAACCACCCTTTCGTCCATTTATATACCCTTAAAACACTCCATTTGAAAAAAGATTGCAAATTATTATGAACATTACTGCATAAAAATAGACTATTAACTTGACCTTAGGCTAATGAGTAATGCTATTATATCTCATAACAAATCATTATAAAGAAAAAAAAATATAAGATTATGCGTAGGTACCCTAAAATGAGATACGTAAAAATTGCAGTGAAGAACAGTTTGGTCTGGTTGAGAATAGAGAAAGTCAGAGAATCCAGGTTCTTGTAGGAAATCTGCAAGAGGCTATTCTGCAATGCATAGACAGCTGCTGGAAGGCCTGATGCAGTCAATGAGCCCATTAAAGTCCACTGATTGAATAACTTCTTCAAGCTACCTTCCTTTGCAAGGAGAATCAATGCACAAAAGACCTAAGAGGAATGAAGAACAGCATGGGAAAGACAGCAGCATCAATACTTTAAAGAGAGAAAACAAGAATATATAATTGAGCCATATGGATCTGTTTGTCATCACCTTTGTTACTTCGCATGCCAAAACAGCTGATGTAACAATAACTTCTTTCCTGCATTCACATTATTAAATGCTTGATGAAATCAGTTAGCAGATCAGCAGGATCATAAAACTTGTTGAGGGAATTGCAATTGCTCACCCTCTTGTTGAGGCAACTAGAAAGTTTCCTTGGTGGCCACAGTAAGATAATACAAGATTTAATGGTTCACACTTCAAAAGGCACTATGTAACAAAAAAATAATTCAAGATTCCAAAATCAATGATGTCAATAAGATCGTTCTGTGGTCAACATTTAATTTGGAATGGATATCCGCTGACTTTCAAAATGATTTTGGATAGAATTCAAACCCCACTATAGGCTTTCACTAGCTTAGGTTTGGATTTGAGGCGGTTGCACTTCTATCCATTTCTATCGGTTTGGCGTAATTAAGGAGCTCAGATAAATTCATTCAGTGGATTTTATGGTACTAGAACTGCATGTAGCAAACTTGTGATGAAGAAAAAAGGATTATTGAGGTCAAATTGAGGGATTTCCATTGCATATTATATATCCCTATGCCTCTCATTACTACCTGAATAACATAAGGTTTTTGTAGGAAACCATCAAGGAATAACACGTGGGTAACTTAATTGGCATGCATTTGGCCAATACAGTGCTTATTTTAACACCAACAAATAAAAGCAACCCTATGAAGAAGACTCCAAATCCTTGAATATATTTTCTTGAATCCTCTGAGCAATTCATGACAATGCATTGCAAAATGCATCTTAGTGCACCCGCAAAACCCATCAAAACTGGTTAACTACTTAACTTCACTAACAATTTCCTATTATCATCCATGCAATTATTCAGTCTACTTAAATATGCTTGTTTACAACATAAATCATTCTTCTATAAACTTATCCATTTCGACAAATTGGAATTACATGTGTTATCAACATTTCCTACAACAATAATGTACATCCATATTCGCTAAGATCAGGTTAATCGTATCACTGTGAGAACATGAATCGAATTCAAGAAGTCTTTGATTGAGAATGGGCTTGAATTATCTAAAACTCAAAACTTGCAATATCAAAAGTTGCCTAAAGACTCAAGTCGCCTAGAACTAGATTTAAATAAGCCACCCCGTCCCTTAGTACTAGTAGCTGGATTTTTCTGAATAATTCATAAAATCTCCATTAGTAGAGGCTATTTGCCCAAAAGAACTCTTATCCAAAGTGCTCGTTAGTTGACTAGAAGTGTCTCTCGTCACAATAACTCATCAAAGGTAACCACCCTTATTTCTAACTCGCTCAGAATTCAGTTGATTAAAAGTAGACCTCAGGATGAACATGTCCTCAGCACAACTAGCTAAAACGACTTCAATCTACACATTCTCCAACAACAACAACAACAACATCAAGCCTTTATCCCACTACCTGGGGTCGGCTACATGAATCCTTTTTCTCCATTGTGTCCTATTAAATAACACAATTTCTTAAAGGATTCATGTCATTATTGTTCGACAAGTTTTACGCTGGCTGTCGACTACCTAACGCAACCCTCCACTTTTCTCATCTAGGACTTGGGACCTGGCAACGGCATATAAAAATTATATTGTTTAGTCAATTTTATAACTATTATCTTGACCATCGCCTACAAATAGATGGTCACTAGCACAGGCATATAAAAATCAGACAAGAAAATTATCTCTTTAATTTGTTTCTCTCTAGCTCGGTTTAACTTTTTCTTTCTGCTCGAAGGTGTTCGGCTGGGTTGGCTTCCCTGTAAATCAATTCTTTAAAAGATTTATTGGGACCAATGCTGCTCAAATTAACTGAATTTATGCATAATCAAAACAAGCTTAGTCACATATCAATTACCCTGTCGGATGACTCTTTTAACAAACACTGGCATAAGACTAAATAAATCAAAAAGTGATAAAAAAAAAAGAATTAGGATGGGAAATTTTGAAAGGATAGAACAGCACCCGACAAATCGTTTGGAGAAAAGCGGCTGCGCACCGTACTGCAGCGTGAGGAGCAAAAGATAGATCCAAACCCTCGCACTAATTCGGTCCTTGCGCTGATCCACCGGAATAGCAGGAGCCATTGCCGGTTGAAAGGAGTCCCCCGCCTCTCGCGGCCGTATTATTCGAAATTTCGCCTGTTTTATTCAGTTTAGGTTACAGGGAGCCGAGATAACCTAAGCGGAGTCAATAGGACTGGGATGGGCGGATGGCGCATGCTTTTTTCGAAGTATATATATATATATATTGTGATGACCCAGCCGTTGTTACTTCATAAAGAGAGTTTGGTGCCGTAATTAATCGCTCGATAGAATCTAACGTGGTCATTTACTAGCATGGGGCCCTGACTTACTTTACCACATTGAAGAGGTGAGATTTTAGTAAGGGGATTCGAACATGGGATAGAAGGTTAACAAGTAATCACAACTGTACTCGCCCACCAACCACCTTAAGTCTCGATGGATTCGATTCTTAATTTGGCTCGCGCCAAAGCTACTCAAGTAAGCCAGCCACATTCTATTATTGAAATAGAATTTAAAATAATTTGATTTATTTCAAAATCAGCTCAATATAAATTTATTTAATTATTCAAATATTATACTTGTCTAAAAATAAATCTAATAATTTTAAAATATATGATACTAAAAATTTTATCATAATTGTACACCCATGTATTATTGGTCTCATTGGGCTTAGTAGGGCAAATTTATGGAAGGCCAACTAGTTATGAAGGAATGTTGCTATCAAATCACAAAGTCAAAATCACCAATGCTATTTAATAAGTGTATTCAAGCTAAGGGCATCAAAATTAATCAATCAAACTTGCCAAGAATATTTAGCCTAAGCGTAGGCCAAGCAAAATCACTGAAGCTACTCATTAGAAACTTGGCAAGCCATGGTTGTGACGCCCTGAGATTTGAAATGAAAGAATTTCATTTTTTTTTCCTTCTTTATAATCATATTACATTAAATATCCCTGCCATCACTCGCTCCTCTCATTCATGTTGCTTAGTTAGGAAGGATATGAAAAGAAGAAGGGGAGGGCAAGAGAAGGAAGATGAGAGAGAGAGAGAGAGAGAGAGAGAGAGAGAGAGAGAAGTGTTAAGTGAAATTTATATTTATTTTTATTATGTTAAATTCTAGTAAAGATTTGTGTTTTAGTTAAAGTTATGCAGAAATATCTTAGGAAAAAAAAAAATGTGAAGTTAAGAACCAAAGCCACATTGCCAAAACTATACACTTGTTTGAGCATAGTTTTTCTAGAAATCTCTAAAAAGAGATGAGAGGGTAGTTACTCAGTGCTACGCTGTGTAGGCAAGCAAAGATCACAAACAAATAATAAATAAAAAAATATTTTGCTTTGTTCATGCCCTTTAGGTCCTAAGAATATCACATTTCTATAGATTTTACACTCGACCTTCCTAGAACCTCTAGGGAATATGATCACATATTATTTTTTGTTAATCATTCCTCCAAACATATCTAAAAAATTTCCTTATTCAATATCCAGCAATACATTATTATATAGGAAGGCTATTCTTCAAAGAGATAGACTTCATATACTTCCTTTTGCAATAATTTTTTATAGAGATGTTAAATTTGTATCATGTTTTTTTTTTTTTAAATTATGGAATGACACAACATAAAAATTTCTTCACCACGTCACTCTTAGGCTAATGGACATATTGAGGTGGTAAACATGACATTAGGAAACCTCTTAAGATGTTTTGGGGCTAAGAGTAGGGGTGTCAATTTCGGGTCACGGGTCGGGTTCGGGTCGAACCCGAAACTGACCCGGCACTATTCAGGTCAACCCGAACCCGACCCGTTTTTAAAAATGGGTCAGTTTTCCTGACCCGAACCCGACTCGCTTCGGGTCCGGGTCAACCCAACACGACCCGAATGACCCGTTTCCAACCAGAAAATGGCTAATTTTCGGGTAAAAAATGGGTCAATTTCCTCTTTTCGGGTCAATCTCGGGTTGCCGGGTCAAAATCGGATTTTCGGGTCAAAATCGGGTCACTTTCGGGTCAAAGGGTTAACCGGAACCCGACCCGATTTTTGAAACGGGTCGCAATGCTGAACTCGAACCCGACCCGTTTCGGGTTCGGGTTGACCCTAACCCGAAATTTTCGGGTCGGGTTTTCGAATCGTGTCAAATATTGACACCCCTAGCTAAGAGCTTAGTAAATTGAGATACACCTTACTGTAGCTGATTTTGCATATAACAATGTTATTTTAATGACCACAAATAAAAAATATTCTAAAATAATCTATGGCAAGAACCAATTAAATCAATTGAGATTGCTATCATAACTTCACATGAATTTTCAAATTTAGCATTTACTTTTGCAAAAGATTTTCAAAGCTTTCATGATAATGCTAAGCAATAATTATAAATATTTGATGTAAAATATACTTCAAGGAATAAAAATAAATTTTTAAATAATATAATATTGAATATCATGAGCTAATTAGAATATGATCTGAGAGCTATCCATCTATAAATTTTAAAAAATCATAAGCTAGAGCTATTTGAGATTATTGAAAAACCATGCATAAATGCATTTATTCTTGAATTGCCAAAAGATGTGTTTATTAGCCCTATTTTTAATATAGAGGATTTGATATTACATAAGAGAGTTAGCAAACCTTCAAATATGTAAAAATGATTAGGAGGATAAAACTAGCAGTTATAAATACTACCCAACATTTCTTCTTTAAAGTGGATCATATTACTATAGATGAAGTGTCTATAAATCAAATTTTTATTGCGTCCTCCCACCTAACGTAGAGATACGTCCTGCCACCGCCAAAAAACTCGGTTTTTGCTCGGTATTGCTAGGTATTATTTGATAATAACGAGGAATATCATCATGTGAAGACCAATACCGAGTTATACCGAGCTGTACTGAGCAATACTGAGCAATACAAAAAAATACCGAGTTCTTTCTAGGAAAAACTAGGTATTTTTTTGTATTGCTCGGTATAGCTCGGTATAACTCGATATTGGTCTTCACATGATGATATTCCTCGTTATTGTTTGGTATTGCTCGGTATTTGCTCGGTATTTCTCATTTTTTAGCGCGAATTTAGCTCTGGGAGGACGTATCTCTATGTCAGGTGGGAGGACGCAATAAAAATTCCTATAAATCACCAATAATATGATCACTTCTTTGAAGTGGTCATATTATCAAGATGGAGACCACATGTTGCGATGCTAACTATATAACTTATGGACAATTAGATTGATTTTTGCTTTTCACATAAGGGTTTTTTAAGATCCAGGGGAATTGATGTAGTAGAAGGTGCCAATAAAAGAAGAGGTAAACCAACAACTAGAGCTCAAAACAAGAAGATTGTTTCATAACAAAATTGACAGGCTCTTATTTATATATATTTTAGTGTTATGTGTTGTTTAAAGACCCATGCATTTACAATATTAAGTTTGAATATTTATAATTTTGAGAAAAAAATTAAAATTTGAAGTTTGAATGCTTGAATTTATTAAATTTTGTTGCGGGCTAGAATGCGCGGCGCTAGAGTGTAGAAATTCACATCCGAGCGTTGCACGAATATTCAGCACACAAACAAAAAAGAAAATGAACACCAGGATTTTTACATGGAAAACTCAGAAGAGGGAAAAAACCACGGGGCCACGCCCAGTTGAAAAAGTTTCACTAGTGTTTTTGTAAATTACAATAAACTAATTTGTCCCACAAATCGAGACGATCAGATTACAACTTGAAGCAAATTTACAAAGTTTTTCAGAATCCCGTCGTTTCCCGAAAATCCGGCAGAGTTCCGGCGTATTCAGGCGGCGGGAAGAGCTCCGACGGTGGTCGAGGAGGAGAGGATTCTCCTTTTCCCCTTTCTCTTCTTATTCCCTTCTTCTTCTCTCTCTTCACTTGAGTCTCCTCTGTGAAGAATGAGGGCTCTATTTATAGTTTTTTGGAGTGGCATGACTTGTAAATAGGTGTGAGATCATGGGCGAATAGGGAGTGGTCGAATGGACGGCCGATATTGAACCCTTTGATAGTGCACCGTTCGTTGGATATTTGGAGGCCTTAATGATGTCGTAATTCGGCGATCTTGGGCTCGTTGGATTCGTCTCGTCCAGCCATCCGATTCAAGTATAAGTTCGTTAAAATAGGAGACTGTTTGGTAACTCAAATTGCGGTTTGAACCTTCCAACAGCGCTTCGGGTCATTGATTAGGACCCATTTGGGCTTGGATCAGGTCGAATTTGGTGTCGTTGGGTTCGTATTTCCGAGACGCTCAGTTTGACTATAAGCTCACTGAGATCGGAGTTCGAATGCTCTTGATTTTAATTTTTGAAGTTTCAAGTTAGATTTTGCCTCGAGATTCATGCTTGATCAAGATAATTTTTTGAGAATACATCAAATTTATAATTTAAAATTTCAAAGATATGAGAGAAATGTTTTGTAAAATTCATAAAAAATAATTATGTGCTAGTTAAAATCATTAAATAACCATTTTACGTGTAAAAGTGGTTGGCCGCCACTTGTTAGATTGGTGATTACACATGTATAACCACCCCCTCATTCTCATCCACCTAGTCGGTCTTCCCCTTCCCTACAATGCATTTCTCGGGTATCACCGCCAAATCTTCACCGTTATCGTTCTATTTCCATCATCTAATATTGTCATATGATTAAGAACATCTAACATTTCAATTGGACTTTAATTATCCATCTATAAACATCTGGCTTATATAATTCCTATAATGAAATTAGATAATTATTCTTAGTATTATAAACTAATATATTTTAATTATGCGAAGAAATTGTTATTATATTTATAATTATATAATTGATCATTGAAATTGAGCCATGCCTCATATTTTTTCCATATTTAAAATGGGCGGCCAACAACTGATGATAGTGACAGTGGCGGGTAGCGGGTGGTGGTGGTAGCCGGCGGCAGGTGGTGGTGAGTGGAGGGTGGCAGCGGAGGCCGCCGGTGGTGGTGGTGGTCGATGCCAACAGTGGTGGCCAGACTCCGGCGGTGATGGTAGCCTGAGGCAGGTGGTAATCGGCGGAGGTCAAGCGAGCTTTCATTCTCCCTCAAAATTATACGAGTTTCTTTTAAAAAAAATGGAATAGTTTACATTACATTTACTTTACTTTGAATTTCTTTTTTATCCAAAGTATTCCAATCAAACATAAAAAAATTTAAAACTCATACATTTAAAATGCTTTACCTCTAAAATATTCCAATCAAATAGCCCCTTGAATATAAGAATTATTTTTAATATTTTATAACATATAAGAATTATTTTTAATATTTTATAACATATATTTGAATAATTTATGAAATGGGAGCAGCATTAGGGTCTGGTGCGTGCTATATTGTAAAGGCGGGGTTTGGAATGACTTTCCTCCTGCTTATTGAAGCAGCAAAAAAGGCCTTCCCAAAGGAAGTCAAAATCTTTAAAATTATCCGATAAAGATAGGGAAATGCATTAACATTGTTTTTGCTGATTTTTTCCCTGCTAGTTCAAAAGGGTTACAGAGTTGACGTACAGAGGGAAACTAAGCTGCCGCCCTTCCGTTCAAAGAATGGAAGAAAGGATAGGACTCAAGCGCCCGCGCCCTATCGTCGGAGACGACGAAGTCGAAAATCCTCCGTAAGATCTTCTCCCTACTTCTTCAACTGTTTACTCGCTCCATGAGTTGAAAAAGGAGGGTTTTGGCGAATGTTTTCCCTTAATGTTGCTATTGCTAATTAATATAGGCAGCAGAGGAAACCGAGGTTCCCTAAAGGAAAGAAATTGAAGGTGGAAGGCCGTCTGGATGTCGCAGATGGATTCGATGGGGATTCGAATGTCCAGATTGGCCCTAATTTCGCGGCGAAGGAGCGAGCCAAGCGCCGGATTGAGAGAAAGGAGACGGATCTATTCGGAAGAACGGCCGACTTTACAGATTTCGAAGTTCAGTACGAGGTATATTTTTGTTTTTCAGTCTCCCTATTTTTATCAGCGCCTAAGTTACCTCACTCAAATTTCTGCATTAGCTGTAATTTTTGGCCCAGATTTCGTTGTTTTTGTTGAAAGATCGATTCCTTAAGGTTTGTTCTGTTGCTTTTTTTCAATGAAGAAACTTCTCCTGGACATTGGTTTCCTCCACTGTAGTTGTCTGTGGGATGAAAGAGAGGTGCTGAACGGGATGTGGTGAAAAATCACGTTCTGAAGCACTTTCTTAGTGAAACATCCGACAAATGCTTTTTGTGCTATTATCATAGAATAAGGTAGATTTCTTCTTATAAAATCCCACAATCATACATTTAAGCAAACTCCCGGATTGCCCAATTTTTGTCAAATTTGTTTTGCATCTAGAGGATAACAAAAATCATTTGAGTCTTTGAGAGAATCCGATGAACACATGAAGAAATAAAAGAGTATTACTTTTTGTTGATTGAATGCGTAAAAAAAAAGATTATTATCGAGGTTTGGCTTAGATGGAAGTTATTGTATAATTAGAAACAAAGAATTAATGTGACCTTTACATTGTCATTTTATGGCTACAGCCACTCCCAAAATTTCAATGTGTAATCGTCTCTAAACTGCTGGCAAGGTGAACTGATCCAGAGTCATAGTTCATTCCTTTTTCATGATCTATATGATTTTATGAATGCCCACACGATGTATTTCTATGGGGAAAAAGTGGGGTTGAGATCTGCATAGATGGACATGGGATAAGAAGGCACACTCTATCGAGGTGATTCGATTGGTAAGGTAGGGGTAGAGTTAAAGGTCATTTAGAACATAGGTTTTTTTTGTGAAGAAAGGTTGGGTGGATAGATTTTGTATATAAAGATTGATAGTTGGAGGGAATGACAATGAGTTTTAGAATAGAAATAAGAAAAATGATGAGGTGTGGGAAAGGAAAGATATGAATATGGAGTTACGAAGAGAGGGAGAAGCATTCTAAGAATGTGGAGGATGGAGACCAAAATATCTGACAAAGTTATAGATGATTGGTGGGGTTGGGAATATAAATGATAAGGAGAAATAGATATCAACTTCTATGAAGTTTTTTGGGGTGTAGAGGATGATGACTAAAAGAAAGAGAACGAGGTATGGCTATAATGTAGATATGGATTCAGAGTTATGAGAGAGGGAGGTAGAAACATTCTAAGAGTGTGGAGGATGACAACAAAAAGATTACTAAAAAGTTAATAGATAATCATTGGACTTTGGAATAGGAAAGATAATCATGAATAGATATTGACTGACTTGAAAGTTTGTTGGGTTTGGGGAAGGGGGAATGGGGAAGGAGGAAGGGGGAAAGGGCAGGGGGAGTGATGGGGATGTGGTGGGCCTGGTGGCAAAGATTCTATCATTCTAGGGTTGGTGGAAAGGTGATGGATATGTTATGGTTGATGGAAGCCTAAGATAGCGGTGACTATAGGTATAATGTTCATATTTTGGGCTGAAACTTCTTTGTTATGTTTGGGCTTGTTTTCTTTGGTTGGGAAAGTTGTGTAAACTTTGGGATGCTAATGAATTATTAGAGGTGATTTTTGTAGGTGAAAAGTTATGAATTTCTTACATTGCCTGATCATAATAGGTGGACAATAGGTGTTATGATTTTGCAAGGGTTGTCTGGACTAATTTTGTGAGAGTTCGAAGTGATTTAAGGCCTTGGGAAGGTGGAAGGGATGTAGAAGAGCAAGTCAAAAAAGAATAAAGAGGGAGGTATGCTAGAATTTACAAATTTTAACCCCGTTCGATTCACAAATCAATCTGAAAGTTGATAGCATATAACCATCTCTAACATGCATGATTTTGCAAGCAAGCAAAAGTTCTATTTTTTGATTAAATTATGGGGTATATATAATACATGAATTGTAGTATAGGAGGTGGGAGATACACATGGAAACAATTAGAATTTCCCTTGCAAAAAAATATTTTTACAAGATTCAAGTGTCCCCATTTTGGTTCCCTCAAATTTATAAGATTTAATATAAATCGTGATTATAGATAAGGATCCTTAGCTTGTGCTGATTAAAAAGCTTAACAAATAATAAAAACATTTAAAATCTCCCTCCAAAATTAAGCATACTCTCTTGATTAAAAAAAAAAATCTTATTTGTGATTTAATGAAAGGCCTCCTTGCTTGTCCGACCTCAACCATTGTCCTCTTAATGAACACTACTCTCTAGACTTTAAAGTGTTGCATTAAAGTAAGAGGGTTACTGCTGGTCATGTTTGTGTAGGTGTAGCATCTATAGCTTTAGGCACATCATTTGGTATAGTATCTATGGCTATTGGGATAGTTGATAATGATAACAATTGTGAAAGTTGACCAATATATCCTACAAGTGGGTTAGATTGCCAATCCTACTACTTTATAAATTCTTCAGATGATAATATGCTAGCTGCATTGAAAATAGGATTAGAAAACATGTTCATAGGCAAGCTTAGAGAGTAATCTTCATGTTTAATGGCTCTCTGTATTTTGTAGCATTTTGGTGTTTGTCTTATGGTGGGAGTGATTGCGAGATAAAGTATAAACACTATTGATTTACTTACATGATAAATATTAACCATTGTGTACTTGTCATCATTTGTATGAAATTGTGTAGCACATATCAGTGAAGACTATGAAAATATTGCGCTAAAGATTAGTCAATAAAATGCAATAAGTGGTACCTCAGATCAACCATGTTTGGGGGTCTTAAAAATATATCTATATTATTATGCAACTTAATGTAATTATTGGAGTACATCGGATTGGATAAGGTAACCTCAGGTGATCTTTAAGATATGCTTAATGTCTAAGACCATTACAGGTTGGTGTGTTTCAGTTGTCAATCATATATTATCCTTCACAGAGAGGATAAACTCATCAAGTAGTTAATTAGAAATAATGTCGAAGCACAATATGCATGTATTCTTCATAAGGCAAATGTTTGGCATCCTTCTTGGGGAGGCTATGCTTTTCAAAAAGAGCCTTAAGAGATGCATCATTAGAATCCAATCATAATCTAATGGACTGGTCAAAATAGATGTGCCAGAATAAATATCTAAGATGGGCGATCTGTTAAGAATATTAAAATATGTGTTTTAACTTTTAAACGAGTTGCATGTCCTTAAAACAGGATAACTCAAATTCATTATGAGGGGTAGGACGTAAAACAAATGATCTTGAAGCAGTATGTTTATATGACACTTAACATGCAATGGCACATCCTCCTTCTCCAAAAGGAAATACTATTTAGAAAATTCATTTTTTGTTATTTTAACTTGGAAATTTTAGTGAAGTCAGTTGAAGAATCAATTATCATTTTTTCTTTGGTTGAAAATAGGTTTTTATTTGGGATGAGAAACATGAGATATAAGCATGGGTCTGTTTTCCCTTATGGGTTGGAGTGGGTCTATGTTGCACGGATACGCCTATCTACAATGCATGCTGTATCAGACACGTGTCGGATATGGATACGCCTCCAATACGACACATATACATGTCGGATACGGTTTTGCCATGTCCAATTAAAATATTATTTAAATTTGATTCGACACGTACCGGATACGTGTGTCATATCCGCTCGATATCCCTATTCATTTATGCGGCTTAAACATTTTGGTGACTTGAGCATTGAAGTTCGTTTTCTTTGTTCTTCGTTTTCTTAATCGTAGGCTCGATACCAGAACTCGGTACTGCTCAGTACTTGGTACCGCTTAGTACTGGAACTCGTACCGCTTAGTACTGGAACTCGGTACTGGAACTCGATACTGCTCGGTACAGAGGGGTACTGAATGGTACCAAGCAGTATCGTGAAGGTAGAGAAAACTTTAAAGCAGTACCGAGCAGGTCGAACCCCGCCAGGGGGCAGCTCCCTCTTGGACCCCCCGGCATAGGCGCAACATATCTACACTTTCAATTAAAAATTTTCATGTTTCAAATTCGTGTGGATTAATTTGTGTCGATCCTTCGTTGGATAACGAGCTCAAATTCATGTTTCATTTCAGATATTACGCTTTGATTATTTTCTTAATTTTTAGGTATGATTTATATATTATAATGCTGTATCCGCACCGTATCCGTACCCTGTATTTTTAAGAATTGACATGTCCCGTATCCGTGTCGCCGTATCTGTATCGGTGCAACATAGGAGTGGGTGTATTTTGAGTGTTTACTTTTATGTTTAAGGACATGTACTATCATTATCTTTGGACATAACATTCTGTTAGACCGGTCCAGCCGGTTCACACGAGACCGGCCCAATGAATGAAAGCGGAGGGTTCTGCCTCCTGCATACCACGAAAACCGTCAGGAGCAAAAACGACTGTTTCAGAAGGATTTTGAATGGTGTTTATGTGGAAAATTAAATGTTAGAGATTTCCTTTTGAATTTTATGCATTAAATAGTTTGTTTTCCTAGGGTTAGGGCATCTTGAATTTGGCTGAAATTGAGATCTCATAAGATTTCTTTGGGCTCTAGCGGCGTCTAGAGATTTGAGAGAGATCGATCCTCCTCTTGAATAAAGGATCAATTGTATCTTGTTATTTTCTTAAGTAGTTTGTTTTCTTGCAATAAAATTAATATTTTTTTTTCATTAAAGTTTGGTACAGTTTTCTTGTTGTTTTCCTGAAATTGATAGGATTTACTTGAAATATTCAAGTGTTTCCCGTCAAATTGGTATCAGAGCAGATTTTGGGATTATCATGGGCTGATTTTCTGAAATTTCAGCTGCAATTTTTTGTTATCGGAAGACGGTTTCTTACTGAATTCTGAATCAAGATCCATAATTTTTTAATGGCGGCCTAGAAGGTAGACACTTTGGAGGAACGCTTTGAAGGGGAGATGAGTCAAATAAAAGCCACGGTGGAAGATTGAATCTCCTATGTAGAAGACAATATTTTGTCCGTGGAAGACAGTTTTCGATCTTCATGCGATGGTGAAGAAGTTATTGGAAAATCAATTTCAAACGGCGGCA